TTGATGGAGACTTTAGCTTCCTTCTTTTGCTACACTGCTTTCATTCTTAAATGTATTTTCCACCTCTCAAATGCTTGTTGAAATGATTCTAATCACTGTTACTTTGTTCTATGATGGGTGCCAGACATTTCAATTTCTTGATATTTTAGTGTAATTCAAGGAACATTTAAAAATAATTGGGAGCATGGAGTAGGAGGAGAAGGGAGGTTGGAAAGGGAAGAAGAGGAGGAGTAAGGAGAACTTGAGGGAATGGGATAGTCGAGACAGAGGAAGGACAGAGATGAGAGCAAAGAAAGAGATATCTTGATTGAGGGAGCCATTATGGGGATAGCAAGAAACTTGGCTCTAAAGAAATTCCCAGGAATTCACAAGAATGACCACAGCTAAGACCCTAAGCAATACAGAAGAGGGGGCCCAAACTGGCCTTGTCCTGTAGTCATACTGATGAATATCTTATATATCACTATAGAACTTTCATCTAGTAACTGATGGAAATAGAGGCAGAGACCCACATAGGAGCACTGGGCTGAGCTCCCAAACTCAAGTTGAAGAGTGGGAGAAATGAGAATTTGAGCAAAGAGGTCAAGACCATGTGGGTACACCCACTGAAACAGTCTACCTGAGCTAATGGGAGCTCACCAATTCCATCCAGATTGGAACGGAACAAGCATAGGGCCAAACTAGTCCTTCTGAATGTGGCTGACAGTTGCATGGCTGGGCCAGACTGGGGGGCCACAGGTAGTGGCACTAGGATTTATCCCTACTGCTTGTACTGGCTTTTTTGGAACTTACTCTTTGGATGGACACCTTCCTCAGCCTAGATATCGTCGGGAGGGCCTTGGACCTTCCCCAATGTATTGTGCCTTACCCTTTCTGTGGAGAGGATGAGGAGTGGAATGGGGGTAAGTGGAAGGAATGGGAGGGGGACAAGAGTGGGAACTTGGATTGGTATGTATAATGAAGAAAGATAGTTTGTTTTCTCTTTAAAATAAATAAATAATTAATTAATAAAATATTATTTTTTCTGTAAAAAAACGAAAAAATGTGGTAAGCTTATGCATAACAAACAAACAATTTCAATTAATTTTTCCAAATAATATCTGACCTTTTGATGAGGAATTTTGATAACAGATACTGACTTAATATAATTAATTGACTCTCACTATGAAGGAGTATTGTTTGTTTAGTATATGGACAACAAGACACAGATGCTAGTAGGTTTCCAGAACCAAATAAACTTAGGTGACAGAAAAAAATTTAAATCAAGATCAATCTTAATTCTGAGGGGCAGGCTATAACTATTAACACATTGTTTAGTATATCAAATACTTGATATGCCTCATTTCTTATTGATTGTAATTATTAGTCATGTGAACTCACAAGTATATATGTGCATTCCTATACATTTGTAGAAACAAAAAGATTTTGTTTCTACAATGAATAAAACACTATAATGATACTATATACTTCAACAAACACAATTTATGCCTCACTGTAGTAGGTAGCATTCATAGCAACTTTCCGTTGATTCATTGATTTATTGTGTAAGCACAACACCCACCACCAATATCTATACCCTAATCCTTAGAAACTTAGAATATGAGACTATATGACATGGATTTTTTTTGTTTTGTTTTTTTAAGACAGGGTTTCTCTGTGTCTTTGAAGCCTGTCCTGGAACTAGCTCTCGTAGACCAGGCTGGCCTAGAACTCACAGAGATCTGCCTGCCTCTGCCTCCCGAGTGCTGAGATTAAAGACATGTGCCACCACTGCCCAGCTGGATGTTATGTTTATACATACAATTAACCTTCATAATATGCTGATTTTATGTATCTGAGTCACAAGAAACCTAAAAAATTAAATGGGGACAAACAGAAAAAAAATCAGTACAGAATCTTAGCAGGATTATAGCTTTGAGAACGGAGAAATTGGGCCATTAGGTGAGAAAACTTGTGGTCACTGAAACTGGAAAAAGAAATGAAAAGGACGAGAGAGAGAGAGAGAGAGAGAGAGAGAGAGAGAGAGAGAGAGAGACTTGCCCACAGTAAGCTTAGCATTATGAGACTCAGTTCAGATTTCTGACTCATAGGACTATAGGATAATATTATTAATTTCTTTTAAAGGTAACTTTGTAATAATATGTGATATTAGCCATAGGAGACGAACACACTGATAAAATTAAAGGTTTTGAGGTAGTTTGAATGAGAGTGGCTGCTACAGACTCACATATTTGAATCGTGGTCCCCAGCTGGTATAAGTGCTTGGGAAGGACTGGGAATGCTGGCCTCATTAGAGGAGGTGCGTCAATGAGATAGACTTGAGGTCTCAAAAGACTCTTGCTATTCCTAATGTGTTCTCTGTTTTTTGCTTGTGGATCAAAATGGGAGCTGTTCCTGCAGTGATACCTTCATTCTACCATCACGGACTCATGAAACTCTCTGAAATCATGAGTCAAACTAAACATTTTATTTTATAAGTTGCCTTGATCATGGTGTTTTGTCATAGCAATAGAAAAGTAACTATGACAGTTTCTCTCTCTTTCTCTCTCTCTCTCTCTCTCTCTCTCTCTCTCTCTCTCTCTCTCTGTGTGTGTGTGTGTACAGGCATGCACTTGTGTGTGTGTAGCCTGTCACAACAGAAAGGCATTAAGTGCTTAATGGAAATGTGACGGAAGAGGGTTGTGATGTGGTTAACTAGTAACCCTGGGGAAAAGAAGAAGAAACTCCAACTGCAAAGATGCTCTCAGAATTAGGGTAGAAAAGGCTCCATTTCATCTTCAACCCAGACAACAGAAAATTTTATTGCCTATACTTATGCTGCTGTATGTGGAGCATATATTCTGTCACAGGTTATCTGTGGGAGGAAAATCTGAGGTACCCTGAAAATGAGAAGAAACTACTTCTCATGGAATATGAGAGTTGTGAAAAATGATGTTCTAGTAAGAAAATGTATAAAATAACAAAGCAAAACTCAGTGCTATAATTGTTACTATATTTTATGTATTTCAGTGTTTTACCTACATGTATGCCTTTGTACCACTTATGTGCCACAGAGTTCCAAAGAAGGCAACTGAAGCCTTGGAACTGGAGTTACAGACCGCTGTGATCTGTTATGTGGGTTCTGGGAATTAAATCCCAGAACTATGCAAGAACAGCTAATTCTCATATATGCTGAATCATCTCTCCAGCCCTGAGAACTCAGTGTTTTCAGAGACATCTTTACAGGGTATAGGTCACTGTCTCAACTTACCCATCAATTCTTCTTTGCCAATTGTTCAGGTTGTTCTAAAGACTTTGTTCTTGGACATCTATAAATCCACTGGATTAAACATTCACTGGTAAGTTAATAAATGCCCTCTCTAAAGAGTTGTAGGTGATAGAAGTAAGAAATTCTCAACAAGCCTAGGAATGATGAATATTAGGGATTTATGTTCAGCTATGCCTCTAACCGTCATGGGCAGATGACATGATACCTATCACATAATGTCTTAGGCTTACTATTAATGAAATGAAGCACCATGACCAAAGCAACCTGGGGAAGAAAGGGTTTATTTTAGCTTACTCTTCCACATTATAGTTCATTAGCAAAGGAAGCCAGGACAGGAATTCAAGCAGGGCAGGGTCCTGGATGCTGATGCAGAAGCCATGGAGGAGTGCTGTTTACTAGTTTTCTTACAGATTCTGAGATTTAGTTTATTGCCACCATGGCAGGAAGAGTGGCAGGATGCAGACTAACATGATACTGGAGAAGTAGCTGATAATTTTACGTCTCGATCTACAGGCAGCAGGAAGGGAGAGAAAATTCACTGGGCCTGGCTTGGGCTTTGGAAACTTCAAAGCCCAACCACCAGTGACACACTTCCTCCAACAAGGCCACGCCTACTCCAACAAGGCCACACCTACTTATCCTTTTCAAATAGTGCCTCTCTCTAATGACCAAGTACTTGAACATTTGAGCTCATGGGAGCCATTCTCATTCAAACCACCATTCACAGGAACCTGTCTGGAATTTCACCAGTGAGTCCTAGATGAACCTGAATGGCCCAAATATGAACAAATAAACAAAGTACAGATCAATCACAGTGGTTAATAGTTATTAATTTCCTGAAAAAGAGAGGAGGAGTCAATGTAAAAAAATTGCTTATTTAAATTTTGCAAATTTAAAAATTGAGGTTAACTTTCCAAGAATGCAGATGAGTCTATATACATAGACTTAAATCTATTTGAGTCAATATGTAGGTATTCAGAGAAGACAATATAAGACATTCTATGTTATAAGATTTATTGAATTATGAATATGTCTTTTTTCCTATTAAGAAGAGCAATCTTAAGCCCCAGCAGGCACACTTGAAAATATGTAACTTGCAGGTTCACAGTATGTGGCTGAAGATGCAGGTCAAGGGATTGGTTGTATGGTCTTCTTTCCCCGAAGGAAGAACAGTTGGGGAATATCGTCTTCAGGCATTAAGAACTATAGTTAATGTACTCGCAGTCTGGGATTATGTAAATTCCCAGCAGGCTGAGATAACTGTGGCAGATGTAGTGGCTCAGAAATGAGCAACGTAAAAATAAGTCAAAAAGCAAACATTTGGACATTTCTCTATTCTTAACTTTTACTTGAAGACCATAGTCAATTATACTTTGAGATATGCCAGAATGCAAATGAAAAACTGTTCCTTTTTATGTTATATTTTTTGATACATTCAGAATTAAAAAAAATGAACAAAACTATAGCTCTAGGTTGAGCTAGTCCTGTTCTAACATCCACCTACTTTGAACTTGACAAGACATTTGGTTTCATATCTTCATCTGTCAAATGTGGATGGTGCCTTGTTTAAGTATAGTTAACAAGGAGACTTTAAAGTCTTTTTCATTATGAACTTTGAGTAAATGTTCTCCCCATTCCTTATTATTAAATCCTGATCTTCCTCAGAGGAGAATACATAGTTATTTTGCTGTAATTAAGCTCAACTCTTTTTTGCCAATTTTTTGATGTCTAGTTGGTGTACTAGTGACTAGTGATAACCACAAAAAACCATTCCAGGGCTGGGGCTCAGTGACTGAGGTACCTGTTGCTAGAAGATCTGGCTTTGACTCTCTGGAACCCATTGAAAATATAAGTGTGACTGTAAATCTTGAACTGTGGATACAGGTAAGAAACAAATGGATTTATCCTGGAAGCATGACGGACAATTCTGTAGGCTAGTTAGCCCACTGGTGAGCTCCAGGTCTAGTGAGAAACCTGTCTCAAATGAAAAGGTGATGAGCAATAGAAGAAGACCGAGAATATTAAGCTTTGGTCTTTAGACACACACACACACACACACACACACACACATGTCCATGTGCTCTTATAACACATGTACACATATATGCTACTTGGATACACATATATTTTAAAGGAAGAGAGGAACTTGAATCATGTCTTTGTGGGGCTCCAAGGTTAGTGAAAATAGAGTTAATAAATTTGTGCAATTCCTTGAATTTTGTAGTGTATCTTTACACAGTACAAAAGGAGCCCAGATAATGAGCTGTGCACTTGTCCCAGAGAAACAAAGGGACAAAAAAGGGATCAGACAGAGTAAGTAATGTTTGCCTCTGCCTTGAAACTCAAGTATGATTCACTATTAATGCTGAGAGCAGAAACTGGGTGGAAAAAGTACATTGGGAACTATAGTGCATGTGCCTTGCTGATCAACAGACTGAACAGTGTGGTCAGAGAGCTGCTGTGCATCTGAGAAGTCACCCCACTGACTCTTCCCTGCAGCATTTTGTTCCTGACACTTTTAATGTTTTCATGATTGCTGCATAAGTGACTTGACTACTCATTTTGATAAATGTTAGTCGAGCAAGGCCAAGCAATTCAGAGGTCAACATTCAGTGGCTCAACCATAAAGCATTAGTCTCAAAGCAAAAAGAAAAAGTAATGAAAAAAATAGAAAACCTCCAAGTAGGAAAAGAGTTCTTATAGACCATAGGTACTAATTTTAGACTGAATTTTAATTATAGAAATAATTGCCAATGAGCTAGAAATGTTGATCATTGGCTTTTTTTTATCATGTATGAAGATAAAGTCAATCCTAAATCGCATGAAAAAATAAGAAACATTAAATACATGCAAATAAATTCTTAATATTTTAGCACAAAGAGAAAAATGGATAGTTTACATTTTTGCTTAAGTAGTATACAAGTGCCCACACTTTAATTACCGAGTTTTATTTATCATTAAGTTTTCACGCACATATTTTAATTCATGCTTTTTCTTAAAACTATAGTAACATGATAATGAAGCAATTTTAAAAACATAAAAATTCCTGATAGTAAGGCAAACACTATAAGAGAGGTCAAGAAAACAAATGGATGAGTGCTGAACTCAAGATTGAGGAAACTGAGATGTGAACCGGGCAGAGGTTGGCACACAACAGAAAAGCTTTGTCCACAGGGAGACATAAGGTATCTTTGAAAACTGGACTATAAGAAGGACTAACAAGCAAAATTTTTATTATAAGATCTGCATAATAGATACACCTCAGCATTCTCTATGTAACCCATATTGTCAGAGGCACCTTCCTTAAGTCATGTGGATTTTCTGGAGAGCTAGCATCACTTAGGTTATGGTACAAGACATCATTCAATCAGGGCCTTCTACATAAGTATATAAAGGAAAACTATATATGTTCCATATAATATATGCAAATGCATAAGAATATTTCTTAGATAGTTTTTGTATGCTATTATACACCATTATGTAAGTATATAGAGGGACATGCAATATTTGTGGGTGAAGGAGTGGGAAGATTTGGGAGTGCCAACAACTTTTTTTTAAAAAAATTTAAATGTTCTAGAACTGTTTGATTAAAATACAAATAACTTTGTAAAAATAATCAAAACCAGAATTTGCTTTATTGCTATAAGATTTGGTGGTGAAACAATATTCGTTGATTATTGGCCAGCTATTAAAACATAATTTATCCTTGCCTATCAGTTCAGCATTCCAGAGAAAAAGGGAATGATGGTATGAAAGTCAGGGGACTATGGCACAAGATTTTACTCAAACCAGTTTATTTACCATATTTTTCTTCAACAAGTAATCAGAGTAAGCAAAATTCAGTTTATTACAAGTCCTGTTCTGGTTTCGGGTGATACAATCTTAGGAAAGAGTGATTAAGTTTCATTAAATCTCTAATTCAAAGTCCTGCAAATAAAACAGTGGCTGATGTTCTCTTTTCTGCCAAATGTAAAGAAGACTTGCATCGTGTTCCACCAAACATATAACAACATTGATTTAGTGCCCAAAGCAAGTTGGGCTGTGTACAGGGCTCCTTTCCTGTGTTGATGGTATCTTAGTTCAGTGCCTGAGGACTGCATATAAAACATGTTCTCATTGAAGTAAAGTATTCTTTATGTCTAAGATTCACTTAACTTCCCAATCATATGTCTAACAATAAACTCAGATTATTCTCTCTCTCCAAAAATTTTACATCCAAATAAGTGTTGTTCTTTACAAAGAATTCACCTTGGAAAATTAGATGCTAAACATGTACCCTGAGGCTTCAGAATTCTTCCTTTGACATTCATTTGGAATGGGAAAAGTGTTTTTGAGCCCTATCTTGAGAATAAGCCAAATTCATTAGATATGTAAGTCCATTAAATAAGTTAGATACGAAAGTCAATAAATTCCATTCAGGACAGTAAATTTGAAAGTGACCACATAGTTTTGTTTGTGATTGTAGAATAATTACAGCAGCAAAATTCTTCTCTTGGTTACTATTTTAAAAAGTCATTATCCATTGCTTCTATAGATTTTCACAGCCTGTGGCTGAATACCCCCACAGACTGTACTCTCCTGTTTATTTTCTATTTGACTTAATGTTTCAGTTCCTGTTGTGCATAACATGTTCATCTATCTTAATTTGTTAGCAATAATAGGTAGATATTCTGTAAATTTAGTCCAGTAGTATAATCAATCATGTGATTAAAATATTTTTTCTTTGTAGATGATAAATTAAATAGATAATAATGATATATGTATATGTGTGTGCATGTATGTGTGTGTGTATATACAATTTTTTCTCTCACTGTAAAATGTGGTACTGGAGCAATCATCTTTGATCCCCATAGGCCAGTTATTACAGTGAAATTTCTTCTTGTCTATTACTTCAGTGTCCTAGAGAGAAGGGCGAGGATGACATAAAAAAAAAAAGAGGGACACATGATACATTTTTTTACATTCATGAATTTTCCTGAAGTGAGAGTACAAGTTATTTTAAAGCTAAGAAGCTGAGAATAGATTTCTGAGGATCACAGCAATGATAGTGGTTAGTGGTTGGGCAGCTGTAGGAATGCAGGTTATTTGATAGAGATTAGCTAAATCATTTCATGTGGATCCTTCAGATCTTTGTCAAATGCCCTTATTTTATTTGGCGTAGGGCCTAAAGACTTGATTTCCTGATATAAATGAAAGAGTGGGCTATAAGTTTCAGGAATTGAGGCTTAATATCCCAGCGCTCGCTCTCTCTCTCTCTCTCTCTCTCTCTCTCTCTCTCTCTCTCTCTCCTTTCCTTCCACCATCTATCCCTCATTTAATCTCTATGCTTATTGCTTGTCTAAATTGCTTTCTTGACTAAGGTCTCTCTCCCTTTCCTGGTTCATTCTTTTCCTTTGTTAGTCTCCATATTAAAGCACCCCACCCTCATTTCTTTGTTCTCTATCCCTAATTAATTTATGTAATCAGAAAGCAGTTCTCATAGTTTTAAATCTAAGCTAGCATGGAGTAAGATTTAAAAATGCCAGGAAGCATTTGCCTTTAATGTTTTAGTGGCAGAAGTCTCTCTCAGTAAAATTTCTAGAAATTTAGTATAAGGAGAGATCTTTCATGTCTCTTGGCAGAAGAAACCTATCTATAAAAGCTAAAATGTAATCAGTGAGATTCCCTACCCTTCTGTTAGGAGGGTTTATTGCACTCTCTGGGTTGTGGGTCTTTATTTTCTGACTAGTGGAGTGGGAGGAGAGTCATGCTGAAGGAAGCAAAGCAATCTCAAATTCATTTACACTCTGAGTCTACACCAGAGGCATCAGGAGGCAAGCAAGACACAGAAGACAGAGACAAAGAATTTCTAGGAGAATACTGGGAGTGGGGTTTTGGGATGTGAGATCTGGGGTGTCAGGTAGGCAGATTTGGGCAGAGATGATAAGGCTCTTGTATGAGTCACTACACCATTTTCTTTTCTGCCTCTCCAAGAAACTTCATTTTAGTCATCTTGCTTCTCAAGATGGTGTAGTAAGATTTTTAATTCTATCAACATATGCAGGTAGGTTTTCATGGTGAAGGAAAAAAAATCTAGCTTAGGAGGAAAAGAGACTGAGTGGCAGAAGCTGAATCAGGTGTAGGAGCTGAGAGGCAACTTGAGTTGATGCTTATAAACAACTGAGAAGATTGAGGAGTCACTTAGTAAGTGCTGTTGCTGTCTTCTCTGCTTTAAAATGCCATCAGGATTAACTGGGTCGAATAAAATCTGGTGACTCACTGGCTGGAGAGCAAGCCCCATCCCTCTTCTGTGGTACTAAATTTCCCAGCAGCTCTTTCAAGACGCTGTCTATCATTAACAAATCACTCCCCAATTTGGCTGCCTTATTTACGACCCAGGCAAAGATGAGTGCTAGATGAACTTGTTATGCAGCTTTAATCACCATTCACGGCAACCCTGGAGATATATCAGGAACACTCACCGCCCTTCTGGCACCTCCTTCCCACCCTAATGCCAAGCCTCCATTATCCCGCGGTCCAGAGTGTGACACTAATCCAAATGGCTGTTTATCCCATTGTGGCCTCTATTTTCAATCACAATAAAAAACAGAAGAGGCAGGGTATTAGAGACAAAATGGATAGTGCTAAAGAATTACAGTTTAAATTCTCGTTTATCATTGTAATTGAAAGTAGCTGCTAGCGGGGTGCGTGGTGCATGGTGCCAGTGTTTCCATCAAGGCATGAGTCATCCCCTGGACCTGTATAGTTCATCCTTCTGAAGTTCTAATGAGGACCACTTCATTTTGGTTTTAATCAAATCTAACAAATCATTGCTGAAGTTAGCAATGGTTTTGTTCACAGGTGTCGTTTCTTTGGCATGCTTCAGATTCACCTTCTTTGTGTGC